TCTTCGTGAACTTCCGACAACCGTTCTCACTCGAGAGCTCCATTTGGATTTCCTTCGGGTTCTGGGTGAGTTTTCGTGGCCGCTGATTAGCATCGCCGTTTGATATACTTGTGCGTTCTGTTTTGAACACAACTAACTTGATCTGGACATAGAACTCGATGACAAGCAGAAGAAAGTGGCTGCATTCAACTCGCTTGTGCATCAATTACCAAAGCCGAACCTTTCTCTTCTACGAGCGCTCTCGCTCTTCTTGATCGAGATCGTGAACAATTCAGATGTTAACAAGATGACGGTTCGGAACGTGGGAATCGTCTTCGCGCCGACCTTGAATATTCCAGCTCCTGTCTTCTCGATGTTCTTGACCGATTTTGATAGCATCTTTGGCGATGCTGATGCCGTTGTGCCTACCGTGGAGCTCACGGTGGAGAACAGTCTTTCTCCTGACGATGTCCGCTCACCACGCCATCAAATGTTCTCGGATATCCCCACTCCGTCATACAACAAAACTGCTTTCAATGGATCAAATAGCGGCTCGGGCTCTACAGAACCCGTTCATAACTACGACACAGGCTTCATCCCTATGCAGCCGTCCTATGAACAGCAAACATCTAAGAGCGAGACTTACAGCGCGATGCCCGGGAACTCGAGTCAATACCATTCAATGAATGACATGCTTAATCCAACTTCGAATGATTCTCGTTCCGCCAAGGCGAAGCGACGAGAGAGCTCCATGCTTTACATGGATAGTACGTTTATTTAATCTCACTTGACTGGGGCGAACATCAATTGACTCTGCGATCATCTAGCTCCCGGCGATTTCTCCGCTCCACCTGGTCAAATCTGATTCAATACCCAGTCACGCAGTCAGCGTCACTGTTCAACTGCCATCACGCCTTCACTTTCAATATCTTTCCTCTGAACGTCTCTTTCACTGATTACGATTTGCACGCGGAACGACGACTTGGACCACCCACTTATCACCAACGAAATTCTGCGGAGATGCTACCTAATGATAATGGTAATCAGGATGGGGACTCTGGCGTTTGCGCCATTCTTTTTTTCTTTGCCTTATGGCCGAGCGCGCATTTCTCCCGAATGACTTTTTTACTTTTCTTCCTTTTTCTTCCTTTTTCTTCCTTTTTCTTCCTTATTCTTCCTTATTCTTCCTTATTCTTCCTTTTTCTTCCTGTGTACTGATCGATTCTCGTACCGATCTACCATTATACCCCCTCTTTTCTTACTATTTCAACTTTCTTCCATTTCACATTAGCCATGGCTAAACTTTTGTCAATTTTGCCCCGTCGCACTTCGATTCTTCACATGTGAAATTCTTTCTTATTCCAATGTCTCTTAACCATTCTTTCGATATTACACACGAGTATTGAGCTGCGGTTTTGCCCCTACCTGCTCATAAAGATGACCAGTTTTCTGATCGCGATGAAGTTATATCGTACAATCACTAGTTGGCCTCTATCAGGAGACGCATTTGATTCTGGAGAACTAATCATGATTTAACGTAGGGGAAGGAATTCACACCTATACATGCTTCTTATACTTCTCTACTTCTCAGAACCGCCTTGTCCGGTCGCCGCGCCAGAATCCCATAAGCTCCCCAGTCTCCCCGGCCCAGTCCCGTACATTGTCCACCAAGGCCTTCGCCATTCCTTTGTTCTTGGCCTTGCTGTCGGAGGCGTTGCGGGCGTGGCCAGACTGTGCACCACCAGCGTACTCCGTGCCCATAGTCGGAAGGACATTATCCCCCGCGCTCAGACTGACAAACAACGCAAAGGGCACCAGCCAGACGCACAGTCCAAAGTACGAAGCAACCTCCGAGAAGGAGGGCACATCACTGTAGTCCAACTGGTAGGGCTGGCGCCAATTGCCCTGGTTCGCTCTCGTCGCGGGGAGTGGCTTCGAGAAGTGGCGGAACCAGAGCCAGTGGTTGAGAATGACCAGCACACAGGAAAGAATGAAGAGCGGGTCGGTCAGCTTGACGAGCGGGAAGCGACGGAGATTGCTGGCGTAGACGAGGTGCGAGAGGATGCTGAGGAGGGATAGCGAGAGGGGGAACCGATCAATTAGAACGAGGAGGATTTGGATGCCAATGATGGAGTAGATGAGTCGGCTGAGGAGTTTGCGGGCAAAGACAGTGTGCTCTTCTACCAGTTCGGAGAGGTAGTACAAGCCGGATGCTAAAAGTGGTGTGAGAGGCGTATTTCCATGTTTTGTCCACCTTGAGAGGATCGCAAACAATGGCGAGGTTTAAGGCAAGGTAACTCACCGATTGCAAGTGTCAGGAAGCAGAATCCGACAATCACCCCCAGATAACCTACAAGAGGTAATATCCACATTTTCACAAGAGGGCTGCGACCACTGGATGTGCGAGGAAAGATGAAGATGTTGTAGAGCTGCGGAGAGCTGGCGACAGCCACATAAGGCTCGAGTGGGTAGTACCAAAATTAGACCCAGATGCTCCCGGCGAACTTGTGGAAGCCATATTTCTCAGGTGTCCACCCCGCTCTTCAAAAAATTGAGTGATCTTCCGCTTCCGCGTTTACTTCTTATCGTTGTTTCTTTTTGGGGAATTTGACGACCACTGAACCCAAAGCCCACCATGTCGCGCCCTGAGGATATTCTGTATGTTCAAAAGAGTTACCTGATTCAATGTCTCAATCGCTCGGCAAGCCTCTTGCTAATACAAATGATAAAGCCCGCCTGATCTCTTCTACAACGACAATGAGTCCCGCAAATATACCACGTCCTCCCGTATTCGGAATATCCAGGCCGATATGACCCAACGTGCCCTCGAATTGCTCGATCTCAAGTCTCCATCACTCATCCTCGATCTCGGCTGCGGCTCAGGACTGTCTGGCGAAATGTTGTCCGAAGTATCTCCCGAAGATGGTGGACCACACACATGGGTGGGCATGGACATTGCACCCAGCATGCTGGATGTCGCTCTCCAGCGCGAAGTCGAGGGTGATTTGTTTCTTGCAGATATTGGACAAGGCGTGCCTTTCCGTCCAGGTACATTTGATGCTGCCATCAGTATCAGTGCTATTCAATGGCTGTGCAACGCCGAGACCAGCGATGTCAGTCCCGAAGGCCGTCTGAAGCGCTTCTTCGAGGGCCTGTACGCCAGTCTCCGACGTGGTGGGCGTGCCGTCTGCCAGTTCTATCCTAAGAACGACATCCAGCGCAGCATGATCAGCGGTGCGGCGATCAAGGCTGGATTCGGCGCTGGTATGCTGGAGGATGACCCTGGTACCAAGAACAGCAAGCTCTATCTGGTTCTGACGGTAGGCGGTGGCGGTCTTTCAGGCGATATCACTGGTGTCGTCAACGGTATGGACGGCGTGAATGTTCTGGACGCGCGGAGGAAGGCCCAGGAAATGAACAAGGCGCGCGGTACACCCAGGAAGGGCGATAAGGAGTGGATCATGAAGAAGAAGGAACAGATGCAGAAGAAGGGCAAGGTTGTCAAGGCGAACTCCAAGTATACTGGGCGCAAGCGACGCATTGCATTCTGATCCGTCTCTGCCTTGTGCATTTCGGACCGTTTTTATCCTCCCCCCTTCTCACTGTGATTGCCTCGATCAATCCAGCTCAGTCAGCTATGGCCACTTCCCATGCATGACTACATCACATGAACGTTAATAATGATACCCCCTACCCCCTGTTCGATGACGAGAATCTCACATACCTGCACCCGCGAGCGAGAGGTTGGTGGTTAACCACCAAAGGCCTTGGAGTACTCCATCTCCCAGCAAACCGTACTCTGCACGCTCGAGACGCCTTTGGCTGAGCAAGTTCTGGTCGTTCCCTGGAGCAGATGGGCCCCAATCGTTTTTCATTCGGTAGCGGTGATATTCATCGAGCCATCGGGCCATTCAAATTGTCACCTCAAATCGGAGGATTTGTTAGCTGGTCCGTGAGCACCTTGACTTGTCGGTCAGGGCACTGTGAAAATAGCCTGCCGTGTTGGAAAGGGGCAGTGATGACAATGCGACTTGAATAAATGAAGCTTCACGATATCTCACAATAGAGCTACAACTCGAGAGTGTTGATGTCGATTGCACTTTGTGATAGCTATGCTAGGCCGGACGGTAGATGTGCCATGGCTCGTCAGTACCTGTCAACCTCGTAATTTACAGTCATCGTCATAGATCCCCAGATAGTTTTGAGGTAGATCAAACCGTATGGAAATTGGCTGCATATTTCGCCCCTGTCTCAATCAACTGGGTCTTGAGATTTGAATCTACCTATTCAGAGCTACATGTTATGGTATACCCGGTCGAGGTCCCTGATGGTCACGGTCAACAATATTTGTATATAGTGTCAAAGAAGGTGAAGATTTGTATGGACATCCCACATGGTCCAGCGGTCAGGATCACCCGCTTTCACCGGGTAGGCCCGAGTTCGACTCTCGGTGTGGGAGCTTACCTTTTATTTTTCGTAGTGAACTACCGTAGCTAGCCACTATCATACGAGCAAGTGAGGCGCGAACGGCGTGCGCAGTACCCTATCTCAAAAGCCTCGAAGGCTCGGAATGTTAAGCCAATTTGGTTGGTGTATGTATGTGTTCGTTTGTGTAGAACGGTATTTACTTTACGAAATCGAAGTCGATGCCCCCCATTTGCGTATCAACCTATCTTACCTGGGAAAAGTGATAGAGCATCAGCGCCATGGACATGAATGAGTATAAAACCTACTGGGCCATTTTGTATGAGGAGCTTTTGGTTAGTGGCGCTCCGGCGGCTCCGCTATCCGACATACAATACCTCCGAAGAAGACATACTTCTTGCTAGAAGGACTTTGATTCTGCGTAACACTGCGGCGGATATACGGAACGAGAGGAAATTCACTCACGTGCTCAAACAAACTGTAATGGAGACGTAAAGTACGATGAACAAGTTGATAGTCAACGACCACAATTGTCGCCCAATAGATTCATTCATGAAGCAAAAAGAGTGGAATTTGCAATGGACGCAAAATGTCAACTCCCACACCGAGAGTCGAACTCGGGCCTACCCGGTGAAAGCGGGTGATCCTGACCGCTGGACCATGTGGGATGAATGCGACAAGGACTTAACGCAGCTACGCTACTTGAACAGCTCTTTCCGTTCTCCAGGAAACACTGTAGTTGTGCCCTCATTCCAGCTTCTCGACTGAACCTCATCGTTCCTATTGGAAGCAAGCAAGAAAGCACTGAGCAAGCGAGCTACAAGATTCGGAATAGATGTATATAGGTCGGCCAACTCTCTGGCAGTGCCTCCAAAGGTGTAGGGATGTTTTGTTCATCGAGGAGTCTCATCGTTCCAAAAGTTTGATACTCTGATGCGAAAGGATTACATGGTAACTTAGTGAGAACCGGTCAGCATTACAGGACTCAATTTCGCGCTTCAGCTAATCTCATACTGCTGGTGATAATGTCAGTAAAAAATAACGATACAGTTGAAGCCTTGGAGATCCTCAAATCCAAAAAGCAAGACCATGCTGCGAAGCACAATAATGCTGAATTGTATTCATCTAGATGTAAAGAGTGGCCAGCCTCCAGATTAAGGATAGATGGTGTCCTTGGGTTTTTTGGGGGGTGTATGAAAAAGTCAAAAGCAGACAGAAACGGTTGCCATGGCCAAGATGATAAAGGAGTGTCCGCCATAGACAGCAATCAGCAATTCAGATCCTCATCCAGCTTCAAGCTAGGAGATCTCCGCAAGTGGACATCTTAATGATGTCACCGTCAACTCATTGAATTGACTGGGTGTGTTCTCAGCACCATTGCGCAGGAGAGAGCATCGCAGATACTGTCGGCCATAAAGTTAGTACATCGTCAAGTAGGACTCATCACGGAAAAAGAAGAAAAAAAATCCTCACCTCTACTCCTCATCCTCCATGGAGGCGATGGCCTCCTCAAGGGCAGCAGCGGAGCGCTTGACCTCCTCGACGGCATCGGCGGTACGCTTGACCTTCTGGCAGCCCTGACCGGGGTGGGCACACCACTTCTGAAGGGCGGCAGGGTGAGCCTCGGCCATGGCCTCGGCGAGAGCCTCAGCAGAGCGCTTGACCTCGAAGGTGACGTCGGCAGTGCGCTTCATCATGTAGCAGCCCTGGCCGGGGTGGCCACACCACTTCTGCATGGTACGACCAGGAGCAGGGACGGGCTCAGGCTCAGCAGAGCGCTTGGCACAGCCCTGGCCGGGGTGACCACACCACTTTTGCATGGTACGGCCGGCCTCAGGAACAGGCGCGGCCTCAGCGACGGCAACAGGAGCTGGCTCAGCAGAGCGCTTGGCGCAACCTTGACCGGGGTGGCCGCACCACTTCTGCATGGTACGACCAGGAGCGGCCGAGACAGCAGTGGCTGCCATGAGGGCGAGAGCGATGGAGACGAACTTCATTTTGAGAAGCGGTTCGAGAGGGGAAGGTTGGGGAATTGAAGAGTGGAAAGTGAATGAAGATGGTTGGTTTGGGCTGGAGGCTGGAGACCGGAGATTGACAGTGATGACGAAGATCGATCGATGATGGTCGTGATGAAGAGCAGATTGAACGAGGGAAGAAGAGCATTTATATACTCATCCACGGTGTTCCCAGGACGATGTTGTCCCTTGTCAAAGTTGAGGCTACTCTGGGTTGCCGTCGAGAACTCTGTAGGCTGGGCGCACTCTATTCAAACCCTAATCGGGAAATCCTGGCCAGGACAGCCTGTGTCTCCAGCGGACTTCGAGGTCGTCTCCGCAATGGATAGTCTTTGTCATTGAGTCAGGCAGATACGAGGCGATGGGAATTTTGGCTGAGTCTACCATCTAGACTGTCCTCGATGGTCGTCGAGGTGCGCTTCAAGTGGGCATCAATCATGGGCCCATGGCTTGCTGTGTGTGTGGTTGATCTTGAGGCGGCGTATAGATCGCCAAGGAGCCAATCGGACCAGAGAGCCCGCCGATCCTCAAGGCTAAGTATTCTTTGTTTGCAGATTCCATGGTGCTTCCACATGGTGTGAGGCTACTGCTTATTTCCTAAAAGGTGGTTGAATAGGAAACGCCACCAACTCAATCGTGGGGCAAGCGCAGGAACGATTTCCCAAAAGGGTGTTCAATAGGGGACTGGTGGCTGTGGAGCACTGGAAATGGGGATGGAGCCCGCGCCTGTGTTTGTCTCGTGACTCGCTCCATATTCATATTGATTTGGTACCATTTTGCTGTTGGCTAGCATGACTACAGGGGAGGTAATTGCTGCAGCCAAATCTTCAGGAGTCAGTACTTGTAAGTCCCTGCAACCCGACGCAAGAGCGGGTGGAGCCCACATGCATATGTCTACGGCCAGACTAAGCTGTTTCGGTGCTATCGGGTTCACCGTTCATGATGACTAAGGTAGATTAGTACTAACTATCATCATCATGTCTGCGATAAGATTGGACCGCAGGGCAGACAGCGGCAGGACTTGATACTATGTACGCCGTACGGTATTGTGTCGGAACTTCGGAAGGACCCCGGTTTGCGGATGTACACTTGTACAACTACAGTAATTGTAGCCTGTACATAATTCGGGGCATTGGGCATTGGGCATTGGGCTCATCGGATGGTGCTAAGTCAAATCAAGTACATGCTTCAAATGACGTTCATGATCGCGCTTCCACCCATTTGGAACCCGTGTCACTTGAAACTTCCACCACAACGCTAGGTGACGGTAAATTGGGCGCTGAAAATGGCTACTTCTGACGCCACTTTAAGCGTCCATTTTACGAAGAATCTTAGTCACCATTATGCACGTGATCCAACACGACCCACTTTTAGTATATACTCCCTGAGCACTCAGGGTTGCTCAGTAATCAGCTCACCCTTCACTCAGTGTGCTCAGGGAAGACGATCAGTGTGTCATAATCACATTAAATTCAAGGAGTGCCTTTATAATGAGCAATGATGAAGCTAGAAAGGGATGTGCTAGATGGACTCCCCCTCTCTATGAGCTACATTTTCCAGCCTGTGGTATCACCGTTCCAATTTTTGTTACGCCATTCATTCGAAGAGGGTTTCGCGAGGCCATAGCGCGCTAGGGCCTCAAGACCGATCTTGATGTTGCTCCGGTCTTCATACTCGTCGTTAATGCCGTAGAAGTAACCGATGAAGTAACTGTAGAGAACGGAAAATGTCAGTCCACTCAATTGACATGAAACGCAACATGTAATAACATACAGGGTGCCTGTTTGACTGAGCCAGACTAGCTTGGAGAGACTGGGTGTATAAGGTCCATACCCTTTCTCGAGCGCCTGACTAAAGTTTACCGTTGGCATGATCAGGAAACGGGAGGATCGACATACGGAAGAGCCCTCATAAAGGCCATACGGACATGTTCCCTCTCAACAGCGGACAGAGTCCAGTATGGATCGTTCCCAAGCTTGTCACCGAGGCGTAGACCTGGGACCACTTCCCACGCCAGCCTGGTCGCAACCCCATCTGGGACCAGCCCTAACTTATCTTGAGTGCTGACCTTGTATCCTAGGAGCTTTGGTACATTGCTGAAATCCTGCTGAGTAAACTTCTGGTAGGCAATTAACTCTAGGGGCGCGTATGTTGTGGCCTGGCGGGATCTGGTCTTCGGATGTTGTATCTCAGTGTCCTTTAATGGAACCTGAAGATAAACTCGCATAAAGGCTCTCCTGGAGGGCTTCTATGGGTCGCAACAGAGGAGTTCAGCTGTAGCGTAAGAGCAGTGGCCATGGCGACGACGCATTTTTTCACTAGCCTGGAAGTTACGCTTATTGAGCTTCTCGAGGATCTTCCACTGCGAAGGAACAGGTTGATCAAGGGTGATGATTGTGCCAGGGTCTGTTCCTTGGTGGAACCAGCGCGAGGATGGGGACGACATTATTGTAAGAAGTTTGAAGTATCAGGAAGTTGAAGAAAGAGCATGTTGTGGTAGGAAGAGTCCTGAGTTAGACATGGCGAATGAATAAAGAGGTGAAGGGAACTTGAATCAGAAGGTGGCAGGAGAAGTAGGTATTATTGCCAGGACTAGGTTGCCGTAGGTGGGGAATCGCTGGCTGAATGTCTAATTTGCACATCATTCGTTGTGTCGGTATTAAGGTTGTGGATCCCAAGGCTTGCGCTTAGATTTATGCCTTGTTCAGTGTTAAGTTGCCTTGTTTTGTAGTTAGTCAGCTTCGTGATTGATGCCAGGTCAGACCGATATCCGGCAGTTTCCCTTGGTGCCTCAGGCACCCATGCAGGTGCTCCCCCTTCTGTTCTTACGTTTGTTTCTGCTTCCTTTTAGATTAGCTTCATGATCAGCTTTTTCCTTCGGTTTCCGCTTTCCCCGTACTACACACTTACACAGTAGTCCTCTAGGTCGCTGCTTTGGCTTCTCCAGCTTCCTCCCTCTCCTGGGATCTCCTCGATCCCGTCAAGCTTGCCCCCATAAACTGCCAGTTCTAGGGGCTTCATAACAATTCATACCTTTTTGTGATTCCATTGGTTGAGGCATATATCCACTCCTTCGTCGTTTCCGACACATTAAAATGTTTGTTATGTCTGTACTTCTCCCTTCAGTCACGCGAGCCACGGCTGAAGCAGTCCAGCACGACACATAGAGATACAAGAAACGCAACTATTAGCCACAGCAGTTACGTTCATCACCTTACTGATGCCCTAGGTGGCCAACCGGTACGCTTCGACCTGCCTGCTTTGCTAAAGCGGGAGGCTAGGTATGCTCGAAGTAGTCTGACAAAGCAGACAGGTCGAAGCGTCCACACTACACCAGAGGAGAAAGCACAAAGTAACAGAAAAGCCGAGCTTCTATTGTGTCCCTTGGCCCTGGCAGTGTGCCTCAGGCGCTATCAATGAGCACTCTTATCGAGCAAGGATGAAACAGGAGAAACCCAGGTCGAATACCGCGGCTGGGTTTCTCCTGTTTCATAAGGTTATATAACAGCACGCTCTTGATGTTGTGTACGGACCAGGGACTGTTTTAACGGTCAACAACACAGTCTTCTTTTTATCCTCTGCTTCCTCTATCCAGGAGAAGGTGAGCCAAATCAAGCGTCTACTACCCACTCTCAGACCTAAAGCTCAGTGTG